TTTTTTTTTTTTTTTTTTTTTTAATTTTTATTTTCAATAGCAATCAGAATACATAACTATTCTATGAGCTATTTGGCTTATGTCATTCACTCACACACCATACACACACACTTGTAAACACACATATACATTTATCGGATCAATAAATGATTCAATTATTCTGTTTATATAAGGTTGTGGTAGTTCTATGGTTCCTCCATATATCTTCGGGCAGCTTCTTCTTCAGTCTTCTTGAAGTTGATGTCTCAAGAAGCTGAGTGACTATATTGTTTGAATGATGTTGTAGTTTTTGAAAGTGTTTTATACTGTTGATTTGTATTATTTTGTTTATAAAATCAATATGAAGATCGTCGTGTAAAGTTTTGTTACTAACAAACCACGGAGCATCAGTAATCTGCCTCAATATTTTCGATTGGGCACGTTGCATTAACGCTATATTGGATTTGCTTGCACAGCTCCACAATTCAATGCCATAAGTCCATATGGGTTTATTATGCCTTGTAAATTAGAAGTTTATTGTCAATCGACAAAATTGACTTGCGTCCCAGTAGCCAGTATAGTTCAGCGGTTCTAATTTTATAGTCTTTAATTTGGCGCGAATATGGTCCTTCCACGTGAGCCTGCGATCTAAATGCATACCTAAGTATTTGACGCATTCGGTGCTTGGAATTGCTTGGCCATAAAAAATGTACTCCTGGGCATGTTGTCTTGTCAGTGTAAATGTTATATGACTAGACTTGCTCTCATTTATTTTTATTCTCCATTTTTTTGTCCACTCCTCTATAACATTTAGATGCCTTTGTAAAATTAGCGTAGCCTTAGATGCATCAGCATGTGTCGAAAGAATTGCTATGTCGTCAGCAAATGTAGCTGTTGTGGTTGATTGTAAAGTTGGAAAATCACTAGTGAAGAGGATATATAAAAATGGCGCTAAAACACTGCCTTGTGGAATCCTGCCTCAATCTGATGAGATATTGAGGTTCAGTGTTGACCCGTTACTTTGAATTTCCTTGGCGAGATAAGATTCTAGAATATTATAATAACCACATGGAAGTAGCGATCTAATCTTCAGTAAAAGTCCCTTGTGCCACACCTTATCGAAAGCTGGCTCACATCAGAAAAGATGCAGAACAGAATTGTTGGCCTCGAAAGTATTGCGATGACTCTTACGATTCTGTGGCACTGTTGATTGTGGAGTGTTGACTCCGAAAGCCAAAATGATGTTCTGGAAATATATTCGCGCTAGTTAAGATATGTTGAAGCAGGAGTTTTCGAGCACTTTTGAAACAATTGGTAGAAGGTGATTGGTCTATATGAGGTAACCTATAAGGATCTTTTCCGCTTTTATGGATCATTTTTACTACAGATGTTTTGTAGAGAGTTGGCCAATAATTTAATCTAATTATTGAGTTGAATATATACGTTAGAAGGATGAATCCCTCTTTGGCAGTCTTTCAACATTTTTGCCGTAACTAAATCGTAACCTGGAGATTTATTATTTTTTAGTTTACTAATTTCTTCAATTATAATCTTTAATGAAAAGAACTTTATACTGTTCATTGAGTTGTGAGAAGAATCATATTTGAGTTAAGGTCCGCTGCGTTGAGTAATCTGGGTTCGGTTTGAAAACTGTACTTAAATAATGAGCAAATAAATTAGCTTTTTCTGCATCACTCCTAGCCCAAGATAGGTGATTGCTGTCATCCCATCTAACAGGCGGATTTGAATACGTGGTTTTAATTTGTTTTTAATTGGTTTCCAGATTGAGTATCAAATCTATTTAGGTTTGATACGTAATTGTTGAAGTTTTGGTTAGAAATTCTTTCAATCTGGATTTTAGTTTATTGCTTAAGTTATTGTATATGTTCTTATCTGATGAAAGTGAGTTGACTGCCACTACGTCTTGCTTTCCTTTTCTCTGAGATTAAATTTTTAATTTCAAAAGATAGAGGTTGATCTGTTGAACTATTGTTTCTGGAGTAGCAGTTAAAGCAGCATCATGAAGAGTTTTATTAAAATTGTCAATAGCTGAGTCAATTCCGATGAGTTTAAGACTAATTTTGAGATCAGTATTGTTTTCTATTTTGCAGCGGTATAGTTCCCAGTTTGTTTTTCTCGAATGAAGTCTATAAGGTTTACAAACATTGATAAGAAGAACACAGATAGTAGCAGTTATAGGTGAGTGATCTGAAGAGAGATCGTAGCTTGAATGAACTTCTGTGTACCTAGAGTTTAAGCCTTTCCTTATGAAGAAATCCAATAAATCGGGCTTCTTTATTGGGTCAGTTGGCCAGTAAGTCGGAGTGCCCGTGGAAAGAGTACCATAGTTTTGTTGCACAATAACTTCATACAGTTTCTTCCTTTGGATTAATCAGTCTTGATCCCCAAAATGTGTGTTTACTGTTAAAATCTCCACCAACTATAAACTTATTTCCAAGAGATTCAAAGAATTCAGAAAATTGTATATTACTGATTGTATGACGTGGAGGACAATATACGGCAGAAATTGTTATTGCAAAAGATGACGTTTGTACTTTGATGGATGTTGCTTGCAAGTAATCTTTATTATATTTTTCAAGTTCATAGTGAGATATATTAGATTTTATTAATACAGCTGTACCCCCGTGAGCTGTGCCATCTGGATGATTAGTATGATATACACGATTTAAAGGCCACTCGATGTATCTCGATGAGGACTATTGCTTGTCAATTTTGTGCGACGTTCGGCCAAGCCGTTTCTTTATAAATCGCAGAAAAGTAAAAAAATTTTCGTCTACGTTTTAGCCCGCAATTCTGAATCGATTTTGAAAATTCAAAAACCGTTCGAAAGATATTGGTTGGGAATCGTGCTGATAAGTTTTTGGTAAAGATCGGCCAGGCCGTTTTCTTGTAATAATGTTTAAAAAAAAAATCGACAATTTTTATGATTATTTTTTTGACGCTAAGACTAGATACCATAGCGTTCTAGATCATACTAAAATATTACGGCTCTACGACAACTGGTTTAGCTTTAAAAATTCGTCAAAGTTTGCAAAAATTAGTATGGCCTTTTTGGCATTTGTCAAAATTAGAACTTTCATCGACGTATGCTCAAAAACGCCTGAACCGATTTCAGATATTTAAAAAGAATTTGATGTATCTCGATGAGGATTGTCGTTTCTCAGTTTTGTGCGACGATCGGCCGAGCCGTTTCTTTGTAATTTGGAAAAAAGTGTTAAACTTTTCGTCCACATTTAAGCTCATACTACCGAACCGATTTTAAAAAATCAAAAACTGTTCGAAAGATATTAGTTGGGAATGATACTGATTAGTTTTAGGTGAAAATCTACCGACCCGTTTTCTTGGAATTAACTGTTGAAAAAAAAATTAGGCCGATTTTTATGGAACTTTTTTTGGCGATATATATCATGGTCTTATAGAACTTATTGAATTATTACGGCCTTACGACAAGTAGTAGTTTAATTTTAAAAATTCATCAAAGTTTGAGAAAATGAGTAGTTTTTTGACGTTTATTAAAAGTAAAATTAGATGATTTAGTTGGTATAACGATAGTGTACTTGGTCTTGAACATAGTAAACCATTAAAGTCTTATGGAAACTGGTTCAATTATAAAAATTATTGATTTTTGAAAATTTGCTTTTAGAAAGTACTCCCAGTTAACGTGTTTGTTCGTTTGCAATGATGTGTAATAAATCCACTCGGAATACTTCTAATCACTCATAAATTAACTTATTATTTATTGATTAAGTCGATTATTTACACATATCGGGAAGTTCATGTAACTTCCCTCAAGGGAAAATACCAATACCAACTAGTTAAAATTATTATTTACCTGAATCGAAGAAAAACGGCTGGCCGTTTTCCTTCGACACGTTGCAGTGTAGTAACCGGCAAAGGATCCTGAACGCGAACATCGTCGCCGGCGTAAAGGTCCGTCAAATAAAACTCACTGGGTTCTTTGCCAATGTGAAAAGCACGTAGGGAGGCCAGCAGGAGAGTCTCGGCTGATGCTGTACGGGACACAGATATCGTGCGAAATATTCGACGTCGGAGTGAACAATTGCCGTCAAATACTTTGATCACTTCTGCAAAAGAATAATACATATTTTACAGTTAGAAATTCATCATACTGCAGTGTTATTTATTAATGACAAACCTTCATCTTTGTCCTCCTTCTCTTTACCCTTATCGCATTTAGAATCACGATTATGTCCCGCATCTGTTTTGACTACAAATAATTAACAATAATATTTTATCCAAACAGAGAATCTAATGTATTCATTTAGTATTATACCTGATGATGAACTAATTTCTTCATCGCGATACCTCGCTGCGTCCCCACTGCTGAATTCTTCTGAAATACTTCGAGCTGCAAAAATAGATATTAGGGTTTATACAAAAACCGACATTTCAGAAAACCGGGTTTTGAATTTTAATTTGACTAAAAAACCGGTTTTAACCGGTTTTCGAATTTTATATAGAAAATAATTTTTTGCTCGAATATTATGTAATTTATCCGCAAATTTAGTGTAATTTAGAGCAGTATTTGACAAATTTATTTATTGTTCAACTTTATAGATAGTAAACAAAATTATTTTAATTTTAATTAGTAGAACTAAAAAATAATAGTTTATCTTGATTAAATAACTTTGAAAATAATTATTCGTTATTCATGCATTATTTTCACATATAAGAATAAAAATATTTTCATGATAGTGAAAGGAAAGTTTTCGAATAAATCAAAATAATACATTTTTAAATAATTCATTAAAAATTCATTAAATTCAAAAAAAGTAATAAGTATTATATACATGCTGAAACATACTTGTTAATATCAACTTTAGTTTTAAAAACAATTAAGCTAAACTCGTATATCGTCTGTTCCGAGCGATTTTAATTAATCAATTTTAAACATTCTAATTGTTTTTTTTGTTTAATAAAATATGATTTCAAAAAACTAGGAACGTCTATTAAATTGCTACTTAGACGAATCGTTTGTTTACTCACAAAATTTCTTGAAAAAGAAAATACTCTTATACTTGCACAAATTATGCTTAATTGTTTTTAAAGCCTGATATAATAATTCTAAGTTTTTTGTTCTTTAATTTATGATTTCTAGAGTTTAAAATTCTTTTTTTTAAGTTTGAGTAGAGGAAGTTACTTATTTCAAGAAGAAGTCACACTGATTTAAATTAATGTGTACACTGGTATAAAAATCTAAATTAATATATAGACTTTTTTCACTAAAAACCGGTTTTCAAATTCCATAATTTTCGCCAAAAACCGGTTTTTGAAAACCGACAAACCCTAATAGATATGTATCATCAGAGAATACATAATTAGAAATATATATTGATTACTTGAAACGAGATAAGCCACTAAGGTAGGAAATCGATAATTGAAAGATGTGGATCATTTCCAACATTTAAGAAACGAATACTGCAAGAAAAAGATACGAGTCTCGACTTGCAAAGGAGATAATAAAATGTTATGCCTGGAGCACAGCCCTGTACGGATCAGAGACATGCACTCTAACAATCTGGAGAGTTTAAAATTGCAGTGCTGAGCTGGAGAGGAATAGGAAAGATAATGTGGACAGATAAGATAACCAATGAAGAAGTACTGAAAAGAGTGGGCAAACAAAGAACTTTAACACAATTATTAAAACTAAACTTAGTTAACAATTATTAAAACTAATATTAAGAAAGGCAACTGGATCGGATCCTTTGTACAAAAAAATCCTCCTACATGACGTCATCGAAGGTGAAGGTAAAATAAAAAGACTAAAACGATTGTGAAGAAGCGAAAAGTGAAACTGCAGAAAACTGATAGCTGAAGCGCAGGGCCAGGGAGCATGGGAGCACAAGTTTGGAAAAGAAAATGCATAAAAGTGTATAAAACAGTGAATATTCTATCGATTTATTATTATTATTATTATTATTATTATAATGGTTACGTACGACAGCTATAGTCCCGCGTAAGTCCGCCCCGCGGCCGAACCTGCACGCCAATAATGGCCTCCATAGGCACCTCCGTACGAGGGATGCTGACTGCATGAGGAGGCAAATATATCGCCTGCAGGTTCCCGAATTGACAATCCGATCCCAGTGACACACGACAACCGCCATGCACCTGAAAATTAGAAAATACGTTTTAGAAAATTATTTATGAATGTAATTTTTAACATGTAGTTCTTTCTTTTCTTTTATTTAAATTTTGGGGTTCATCATTAGTGACAAAGTTTTTTTTCAATTTCAATAAATAATTATTAAAAGCAAAAATAATAATAAATTATATAATGATTATAATAGAATATAGAAATATTTGTCCAAAACATAAATAATATCGAAGTCAATTTACGGTATTATTAATTTCTATTTTCACTGGTTTAAACGGTTTAAATTTGTGTAGTAATTGATATCAAGTAACTTTTTGTTTGTGGTTAAAAATTTTGAAGATAATGTTAATTGTTTTTTTGATAATGCTGGACTATTTTTTAAATAAAATATTTAATAGTTTATTATTTATTATTTGAACCATTGGCATTAATTGAAAGATGTAACACCAACATGGGATCGATTTTGTACGACTGATATCCTTTATCAACTGTTAATATATATTATATATAAAAATAAAATAAAACTGATTAATCACATATAATCACATTATCACAATATTATCTTTGACAAACTAGTAATTTTAAACGCCGAACCAAGAAAAAATATCTTGCACAGTAAAAATCCAAGACACAGTAATGCAATAAAATTTAAATTTAAAATTAAATATGTAATACAATAAAATTTAAGCACTTAAATTAATTTGCAACTTTCAAAAATCCGATTGCAACTCTATTTTTATTTATAATCGTTATCTACGACAGTTTTTTACACTTATGTAATTGATAATTGACCGATAAGTTTATTTTAAATCACTGACTCAAAGTTAATTTTATTTTTCAATTTTTTACACTTTCTAGGTAAATTATTTTATATTCCCCAAAAAAGAAAATAATTATTATCACAATATATAATTTTCAAATAATCATTTTCAACTTTAATGAATCAAGGACAAGCTAATTTAAAATTTATTTTATTTATCTGATGAAGTTGAACATCCCCGAAACGTTGAATAAAATAATTGAAAGAAAATTTTTCCAAAGGAAAAAAGGCTATTAGTACAGAAATTAAAAAATCATTAAATATGTATTTATTATATTATATTAAAAATGTATTATATACAATGTAATATATTTTTAACTTCCCGTAGGGTAATCGCAAAAAAAAAATCTACAATAAAAAATGTTATATATATTCACATTTCAAAGTCCTTTGAACATTTTGGCAAATTGATGTATGTGTGTGTGTATGTATGTATGCATGTATGTATATGAATGCGCGGATACAATTTTTCATTGACCATTTCGATTTTTATTGAAAGGAATATGTGCTGATTAGTTTTTGGCAAAGGCAGGTCCAACTGTTTCGAAGATACGCGACAAAAAGTGCCAGAAGTGGTTTTTCAGTTTTTGAGGTAACGGAGCGTCCGATTTGAATGATTCAAAAAACATTTCACTTGTATTGACGGAATAAAAAACTGATTAAATTTTTGATCCAGCGATTTTGGAGTTCCAATAATAAAAGTAACTAGTGGAGTGTATGGCATTGTGCCTTAAGGCAAATTGCTGGAACTTTCCATACCGTAACGAAATGTTCGAGGAATACTGAATGTTTTCAAATAAATTATTATTAATATTGTAACATTGTCTAATATTTATAAGAATTATATAAACTAAATTGCAAAGTTAAAATTATTTGTTTAAAGTATATTAGAACCATAGTCAGAATTAAAAATAAAATCTGAATTATTTTCGATATACAAAAAAATATTAGAAAAAAAAAAGTTGAAACAATTTTTTTTTCCAAAATCAATTATTTTGTTAAGACAAGCAGAAAGTTCTTTAAATCATTTAAGTCGGACGCTTAGTTCTTTCAAAAACTAACATTTTTTACACATTTAGCTCAGTATCTTCGAAATGGCTGGGCCTGCCTTTGCCAATAAACACTTCTCCCAATCATTCAAATCGGATGCTTCGTTCTCTCAAAAACTCGATTTCCATTTTCTGCACTATTTGCTCTTTATCTCCGTAACTGCCGGACCTGCCTTTGCCAAAAACTAATCAGCACATCCTCCTATCAATAGGAATCGAATGTTTTTTGAGCCATTCAAATCGGTTGATCCGTGCGCCCGAAAACGTGACTGAAAATTTGTATCCATACATACATACACACACACATCCATTTTTTCTGAGGTATGCCAAAATGTTCTGAAACCTTCAAAACGTCGAGAAATATAAAAATTTTTAATTTCAATTTTCGGCCCATTACAATAACTTACCCTACGAGAAGTTAAAAAAGCCCTTTGGCGGTCAAAAATGATCATTAAATATATGCACATCAAAATATCAGATATTTTATTAGGCTCTTTGATATTTCGCTACGCAGCGCGATTGCTTAAAAAAAAATTAAAGTTTCCAGAATATTTCGAAAAATAAAAAATACAATATTTTCAAAAAAGTTCTTTTTTTTCAATAATTTAAAAATTCTCAAAACTCTATTCAGTTTTCAAAAAAAAAAATTACCGTACGAAAAGTTTCAGCAATTTGCTTCAAGGCACTATGCCATGCACCACTAGTTATACTACATTTACCATCCATGTGTTTGTACAAAAAAAAAAAATCTAATCCGTCGTATAATTGTAATTCGTAATTTACACAGGACGCGTGCTCGACGTCCTAGTTATTTTTTCCATAACGCGTAGAAAATCTGATCGTGAGAGTAGAAATGCAGAAATGCAGAATTGGAGAAATGCATGAGCATGAAGCACTTAAGCTATAGCATTGAAATTGAAACAAACATTATTCACACTGGGATTCCACTCTATTTCTAGTGTAATTCCACAATGTGCTTCGCATTTGGGCGGACGGTTCGGCACATCTAAGCGTTGATTTTAAAGAGGCCACACAGAAAATCAATATTGTCTTACAATGTGTATAGTCAACGAATTATTGCATAACGGTCATAAAAATGCAAAAACACTCAACTGACGCGACTAATACAATACACAATAGTTCTTATCGAAATGTTTCGACGGCAACAACCCTACTGTTGTTACAATCTTTAACTTAACACTATACTCTCTTTATAATTGCGATTGCGAGTGCGAGTTATATGTATGGAGCTACTATAATCGGTGAAGGTTGATAAACATCACCACATGTTATATTTATTATACATATATAATTTTTATTTTCAATTTTGTTACAATGGTTAATGAAACATCAAGTAACATTAGACCATTTTTATTGAAATACAATAAAAAATAAGGAATAGTGTTTCCACTAAAACGATAAATTTGAAAATGTATCAAAAAAAATCGCAACCCACATATATCAATAAAAATAATAATAGCAACAATAATTATAATAAAAACTAGTTGGTATTGGTATTTTGCCTTGAGGCAAACTTCCCGATATGTGTAAATAATCAACTTAATCAATAAAAAATAAACAAATCATTTTTATAAATATTTGAAAACGAACGAACACGTTAACTCGGAGTATTTTCTTAAAGAAAATTTTCAAAAATCAATACTTTCTATATTTGAACCAGTTTCCGTAGAAATTTAATGATTTAGTATGTTCATTAAGACCAAGAACTCTATCGTTATACCAAGTAAATCGTCTAATTTTAATTTTAACAAACGTCAAAAAAACTACTCATTTTCTCAAACTTTGATGAATTTTAAAAATTAAACTACTTGTCGCAAAGCCGTAAGATTTCAGTAAGTTCTATAAGACCATGATATATATTGCCAAAAAAAGTTCCTTAAAAATCGTCTTAAATTTTTTTTCAAAAGTCAATCACAAGAAAATGGCTCAGTAGATTTTCACCTAAAACTAATCAGTATCATTCTCAACTAATATCTTTCAAACAGTTTTTGATTTTTTAAAATTGATCTCAGTAGTATGAGCTTAAATGTGAACAAAAATTTAGCACTTTTTTCCAAATTACAAAAAAACGGCTCGGCCGATCGTCGCATGAAACTGAGAAACGATAATTCTTATCGAGATACAACAAATGGCTTTTGAATTTTTGAAATCGGTTCAGCCGTTTTTGAGAAAACGCCGATTTACGGCAGAAAATCTGTTCACACACACACACACATATATTTTCCAAATTTGGTTTCATTCAGAATGGCTTAAAACGTTGAGAAAACATGAAATAATAATAAGTAAATAATAATAAAATAAATATAAACTTATTTTTCGAAAAGTTATTAATAATAAAAATAGTAATGGTAATTACAAAAAATATGAACTATACAAGTAAATGAAGAAGCCAAAACCAAATAATAAAAAAAATATTATTATATATAAATAATTTAAAGAAACTAAATTAATAGGTAAAAATATAGTGTACGAAGAGGACACTGACAAAATTAATGATAATTTAAAAATTATACAACAAAAATTATATATTTTATGAAAAATAAATTAACTATAAGTATAAAAAACTAAATATGTACATTAATTAAAAATAAAAAAAGACAGAATTAAAAAATTAATCAGTAATATTGAAATAAAAGAAGTAAAAAAGGATGATCGAAATAAATGATAATTTAAAATGGCGTGATCAAGTTGAAAAAACTTGTTGAAAGTGGCATTTAGCCTTAAGGCAAGTCGTATGAAAACAAAATGTGCAAGAATTTACTTAATCAATCAAAATTGAAAATTAGATATTTAGATAAAATTTTCAACTGGTCATTTCAAAAATAAAGTTATGGCTTTCAATTAAATCTAGACATTGCAATTTCGAATAGAATTTTCTCAAGCACATTTAAATTAACAGCAATTTTAATGAATTGATATTATTTGACTCATCACATCACAAAAGCAACTTTTGACACAAATTTTGACTACAATATTTTCTCAAACTTTGATGAATTTTTAACATTGAACTATTTGTCATAGGGCCGTAACATTTCAGCATGTTTTATAAGACCATGGTATCTATTGCCAAAAAAAGTTCATAAAAATCGTAATTTTTTTGAACAGATAATTTCAAGAAAACGGCTCGGTAGATTTTTACCTAAAACTAATCAGTATCATTTCCAACCGATATCTTTCAAACAATTTTTCATTTTTTAAAATCGATTTAAAATTCTGCTTTATCTCTTTTCTGCTATTTACAAAGAAACGACACAGCCTATCGTCGCACAAAACTGAGAAAAGATAACCTACATCGAAATACATCGATTGGCTTTTAAATTTTTGAATCGGTTCAGGCGTTTTTGAGCAAACGTCGATCAAAGTTCTAATTTTGACAAACGCCAAAAAAAACGATACTAATTCTGGCAAACTTTGACAAATTTTCAAAATTAAACCAGTCGTTTAATAGGGCCGTCATATTTTAGTATGATCTATAAGAGTATGGTATCTACCGTAAAAAAAAATCATAAAAATCGTCGAAAATTTTTTTTAACACTTTATTACAAGAAAACGTCCTGGCCAATTTACCAAAAACTCATAAGCACGATTCCCAACCAATATCTTTCGAACGGTTTTTAAATTCTCGAAATCGATTCAGAATATGCGGGCTAAAACGTGGACGAAAATTTTTTCACTTTTCTGCTATTTACAAAAAAACGGCTTGACTGATCTTCGGGCAAAATTGATAAACGCTAGTCCTCATAGAGATACATCGAATGGCTTTTTGGGTCTAGCCGTTTTTGAGAAAACGTCGATTTAAGGTAAAAAATCTGTTCACACACTCACACGCGCTTACTTTTCCCAAATTTGGTCTTATTCGATTCAGAATGGCTTGAAATGTGGAGAAAACATAAAATTAGCGAATCGTTTTTTTTTATGAAAACATAAACCTCTCCTTCGGAAAGTTAATAATATAAAAAGCGATATTAATTATGCAACTTCTCTCGCTTTGGAAATGAAGCACTTGATTTTTCAAAGACCTGTCAACCTACTGGGCATAGCTTTAGGTTAATTGTATGAATCACTTTATAATTAATATGTCAGTAAGCTTTTTTTTAAATTTTATTTGAACAGCGATCAGAACTTATGGGTTCTATGAGCTGTTGTGAGTAAGATCTTACAAACTACGTTTGTTTTATTACTGATGGCAACCCAAACAGTTGTCACATCTCTGTATGATAAATTTTTATTACAATCTCTGTAATAGAGCAAGTATGGTGCAACAATGCCGGGTGAGGGCTATTTTCACTTGGAAACATATTGCTATGTATATTTCCAAGTGAAAATCGTTGTCAATGTTGCCTGACAACAGGCTGTTCGAAGTGGGTATCGAACCCGGGACCTCTGAAACAAGTCCTGTTGCTCTTAACCGATGTCAGTAAGCTGAATGTTATAAAATAAATAGTGACTAAGTGACTTACCGTTACGCCGCACCATTCGCATCGATACCCGGTCAGGCATTCAGAATTCCAACATGTTTTCTTGCAAGCCGCGCATTTAGAGTTCGGCGGCAGATTGCCCTCCCGCCAGTGGTGCTGGTGCTTAACAGCAGACAGCTCCTTGCCAGGCAGGTAAGTTGCGTTCTCTTTGCAATCCGCCACGGCGAAGTCCAAACATTCCGTGTGCACGTAGTATTCACAAACTGAACATTCAAATTATCATGGTAATAAATAGGAAACATAAGTTTTTATTTTGAACAAATAATTCATTTTAAACTCACTCATGCAATGTGGGTGGAGTGTTTCATCGATTCTTTTTCGGCAAACTGTGCAGTAATATTTTTTGCGATGTTGCATCGGCTCCGACCAGCAATGTGCGACCGGATTCTGTAAACAAAAAATAAAATAAATTAAAAACTAGTTTCTTGGAACTCGAATACATTGCCAACAATAGTTTTATTTTTTTTTATTATATTTTTAACAGCAATCAGAACCTTACGTCCTATGAGCTGTTGGGCTAAAACTTCTCTTCACTTCGTATTTTCAGATGGTAACCCAATGGTTAATCCGTCCATATTTGATGATTTTTGTTATTAGAATTAACTAATAGGGCTGACTTTTTATTGGTGCAGCAATGCTGGGCAAGGGCTATTTTCACTTGGAAACATATTGCGATCTATATTTCCAAGTGAAAATCATTGTCACTGCTGCCTGACAACAGGCTGCTCGAAGTGGGTATCGAACCCGGGACCTCTGAAACAAGTCCCGTCGCTCTTAACCGCTTACCTACGGGCGAGCCCGCCAACAATAGTTGCGAGCAGTATTTATATTTAAGTATTGTAATTTTGATGGTAAGCTTTTCTCATATAGATTATTAGATTAGATTTTGAATATTATGACAAGATTTTTATTATATCAAAAGGAAAAATTAGCATACTGATTTATTTGCGTACATGCTCATATCATCGTTAGTGATAGGCTTTCAATGCCTTCGTCCTAAGGGAAGCAAGGCGTTTACGTAAACTGAATCACCCCTGCTAGCATCGCATTGAATAGGACATGATTATGCAATTAAAATTCAAATGAACATATTCATTTCCAAATCTGGCCTTGCTATATTATGATATTATGAAAAAACTCAAACCATAAATACCCAGTCTTGTATATCATAATTTGTAGATTTTTTAGCTTTAACTTGTTCGTAAAATAGATAAAATATTGCATTTGTACGATTAAACCAATCCTGGCAAAATCTGATATTTGAAACTATATTTAGAGAATTAGAATAATAAAATATATACTATATTCGATTTAGATGGCATAGTGCTTCAAGCTAATAAATGATATTGTTGCTTGTAAAGAAAGTGCACCCAAGCCAAAAACCAAGTTTAATAATCATAAAAAATAATGAGTAATGCATCCTAATACATTCATTATAAAAATAAATATTCAAAAATGATATATTATAAATACAAATATTTAAAAAAAGTAAAAATATTATTCAATTCTTCATGCTTTTTTTCTTAATCTTAAAAAAAACGTTTGATAAAATTTAATTCAGTATTACATTTGATATATTATTACTTTGTATAAAAAATAATAAAACCTCATATTGAACGCATAAAATGTATTTTGCCTACAATTCGTCGCATAACAGTAAATGATCAAAATTAAGTTGTGTATGTTAAGTTTTTTACTATGATATTTTTCAAATGATAAACCAATTGTTAAAGATGTTAAAGTCTTGTGAAGTCGCAACATTTACAAATATCCTCGAAAAAATGGAGTGTTTTTAACAAAAAATATTAGTGATATGGATATATAAATTATTACAGAATAAACCTGATGATGGAACGTATCTAGTTCCGAAACGTCGTTATTAAACATCTTCAAAAAACAAATTGTTTTTTATTATTGGATTTACTGTTCGGAAAAGAAACAATCAATATTGAAAAAATCCAGGACTTATCTATTGAATATATATATATATATATATATATATATATATATTAATTTGGAAATATGAACAAACAACACTCTTTTTGCACTAATTTATTAAATTAGTGCACGAATTACAAAGCAAACAAAGTAAGAATAATAACATTCAACAAAAAAGTACACTTGTAGACCACGCTATCTCTAACAGCCATAGCTTCGATTTCAATAATCCGCACATTTTATATTATGAACAAGATTTATTTAAAAGAAGTATTGCAGAATCGATGTTAATAGCCCATACAAGTAACACAGTAAATTTACGGACAGATACCAATATATTACATGATACATACCTGAATCTCATTCATACTTTGTAGCTTATATATAGATGTACATACACTTTTAATTATAACAATGTATAACAAATCTTATAAACAAACCATCTCATCATAGAATATTTTTTCTCCTAACGACATCTATTTTTCAACTGGACCCTAATCCTTTTTTTTTCCTATCTGATTGAGTGACGTTACAATTTCAAGTGGTTTTCAAGTAGGAGAGAATACGAATACCGAAGACAGTGGTATTAAAAGAGCAACGTGCAGTGAACGACTTGTAATGAAAAACACAACATGCTAATTTAGATTTCCATATTTTAAAATTTTTTTAATTATAACACACTGATGATGAGACAAACCTAGTCTCGAAACGTTTGTAAAAATTATTATTTAATAAATTAGTGCAAAAAGAGTGTTGTTTGTTCATATTTCCAAATTAATATCTATTATCCACTCAGAATACATTTGTAATATATATATATATATATATTATATATATATATATATATATATATACATATATTCGCTTACCTTGATCAAGCTGGGAGCTACGCCGTAGCATGGTGTCACAACCTGCGACACACATCTTTCGTGAATAATGAAGTTGCACACTGAAAAAAAACACATTGATGTGTTATTATAATTATAAATATTCAAATTTATAAGTTTTAAGAATCTTATAATAATAGTGTGACACATCAATTAGAAAATCTAATTCGGTTAAAGAAAAATAATAGTAAAACATCTGAATTAGAAAATATAATGGAAACAATATTAATATGATTTTACTCATATAGATTCTGAAAGTGCTACTAATTACATCTAAAATATATATATTCAAAAACAATATATAACATATAAATATAATTAAAATGTATTTTTTCATTTTGATTACATACATTTTTACGATCCTTCAATTCTATTATCCAAAATTAAATATTTCCTATTTTTCGAATCTAAACATTTAAATTTTCAAATTAATTTGTTGCCAAACAAAAAATCTCTTTTTATTTACTAAAAATAAAATACTTAACCGTAGATAGTATACACTATATTTAGTATATACTAAAATTATGTGCAAATTGCATTCTTCTTTATATTCACTCAATGTTATATATATATATATATATATATATATATATATATATTCGTGTGTGTGTGGGTATCTGTGTTTATTTATGACATCATACAGATAATTCGAATAGATCACGATTTGATATCGATTCTAATCATTTATATGTGCAGAATTTTGAATTAGCATATTATTATATATGATGTGAATCAATCTATAATAGTAACTAGTAATATAGTTCATACATTTTAATCGATATACAGCATTTCATGATACAATAACGCAATTCCAAAATAATCAAGGATTTATAGCATTTCGCCTTTCTATAGTATTTGTAATTATATATAGAGGTACACATGTGAAGTTTCTCTAGTGCACATTCGGGTAAACGGTGGAGCGATCGCGTACTTTACGATTTACTTATTGATATAAATGTCATTTTCACGAATGCAAATTCCATGTAATTTATTCAACGGGAAAAAAATAAATAAGGTAACCTCATATCATAAATATTTTAAATAAATAGTATCGTATTTAGGTAATTTATTGAACTGTACATATTTTACAACACGATCTGTATTATTTACATATATAGCATCGTATTTGTTATGCACTATGTTGATTAAAATTAGATATGATTTCAAATCATAATCAGCTTTAACAACGCATGTTAATTTTCATCTAATTCTTAATTAATATTTATATGAATTATATACAATTGTCTGTTTTTAATATTATCATCAAACAACAACCTTGCTGAATATACATTTTATTTAGAAAATGAGTTTAAATCGTTAACATTTTTTCTGTTAAAAGCTTATATCGATTCAATTTCAATACAGTGATTCATTAGTATCTGAACTTTGAGGATAAATACATCGCAAAGACAATCAATATTCAATGAGGTTCAATCACCATTTATGTATAATTTGATAGAAATCTATAAAAAATATTAGCATTTCCTAATATATCATTCAAGTATTCAAGTTTATTTGTACGACAAGTGAAATTAACATGCATTCAACATATAAGAACGGGGAGCGAGACCGCGTACTTTACGACTAAATTCGTGTGGCAAATTACATGATAGGTTACAAATCTTTGTAGACACTATATAGTAGTAGAAAATCGGTATGGATAATCGGGTAATGTTATTTTAAATATATTTTTGCTTTGACGAAAAATTTGTTTGCATTTATTTTATGAGTGGCGATGGAATGCATAATTTTATTTGTTTCAAATTTTTGAGCATGTTTATGTATTCGTGTATGATATATATATATATAATATATATATATATATATATATGTGTATATATATATATATATACAAGTTCATAGGTGTCATATAGAGGATGCTTTTATAGTAAGTATTTCCCGTAGACATATGGAACTGCAGCTTAGACAACTAATTCTAGTTTGTATCTGTCACGTG